ATTATTTTACTACGTAGTACATGAAATACTGAAAATTGAAATCAGTCACGCCCGATAACGAATGACGACTACGCGCTCGCTATCTACTACGCGCTCGTGTACAAATGACTACGTGAATGGTGCATTATTGCATTAGCAAAATGTATTGTTAAACGTTAGAATCGTTAGATAATATTATAAACAAATTAATTAAATAAAAATATTAAATATTTTAATACAGAAATTGGTATCGAATTCACCAACTTGTAAATTTTATTAGATACTTTTAATTGAAATTCACTTGTCTTTATCTTTCGAACAATTATTTTCTACATATTTAATTTTTTTGTTTAGGTTATTCATATTTTATAATATAAATAATAAGTATGACATCGAATAGTTTGAATAATTGGTTAGTGAAATCGATAATGGCACCTTCCACGTCTTTAGATTCATCATCTGCTTTATCAGAATCAATAACATCTCATTACACTAACACAAAAACTTCTTCATCAGAAAGTCATGTAACAATCACAGAAACTACAACAACCACCACAACTTCTCGTGATTTTTCTTCATCGATTGAATCAACTCAAAATAGTTTTATCAAATCCCTCTATGATTATGACCGAAAAGCCTAAACTTTCCAAAACATTTGATCATATGCACAGAGGAGGTAAACATTTTGTTAGATGTATAATATGTCACAAATTCCCAGAACTTGTCAAAATGTATTCTAAAAAAACTCAAGTTCCAAAGATCTGTCAGGACTTAGGTGCCCGGTATAGAACTGTAACTATTGATGAACATCTTAAACAGGATTACCACAACGAATGCTTAAAAGCATTCAAAATAAGCAAAATGTATATAATGCTAATGACGAATTAGTACAAGTTCTTAAGCCATTTATTAGTTTAGGCTCATTGACACAAGACCAATTAAAAAAAGTACATAAGTTAATTGGGAGGGATTTAGACTTATCAAATTTTGTACTCGAATATGAAGAAATTCAAGAAGTTAGTAACATTGAGAACCTACGAAAAATGTCTATGGCCTCTTTTGTTCAACATCTTTCTAAATCTGGATCATTTAACACCATACTAACTATTTTTTCTCGAGTTTTCGCTGCTAAACCACATAGAGCAGATGTAGAGCGTCTCATCAGCACAAGTAACATTTTAAAATCTGCTGATAGACAAAATTTGCTCGTTGAGTCGGAAAACGAATATTTATTTGTTCATTTCAACATGCCACCTTTATCCTTATGGGACCCAAGAGATGCAGTTTTATCGTGGACAAATGAGAATAGTCGCCGAGTAAAAGAGACTCCTAAGGCACGCGAACAAAGTTGGTTCAAAGGAGTGTTCGCAGAAGCATCTCAAACTCAAGGTGTAAAAAGGGATTTACAAGATATTGAGAATAATACAGCAGAAAAGCATTCCAAAAACAGATTATTTTAAAAAACAATTTTCATCCATAAATATATTTAAAAATATTATTATTATTATGTTTAATAACTATTTGTTTACTAAATAATTCATAATACAATTAGTTTGACAATTTTTCGTGTAAAGTTTTTTTTTATAGTTTAAATATAGTATTTAGTGTAGAGCCCCCACTTATTACTGTAACATATATTTTATTTGTGCAGTTGGAAAAAATCCTTACAATAAAGCCTGGGAATTACCTAATATAAATTGTATTGTTAAGTTATCTCATAATGTTTCCTTCAACTCAAAATGATGGTATCAATATTAATAGTTATGGCTAGGTAGGTACTAGGTACTATAATATGTAGTAGTATTATTACAACCTTTTTCTACCAAATTTTATCTTAAAAGTTTATTACGATTATGATAGCAATTATTTGTGTGCACATTGTATAACTATCAAACTCGTCTGTAAAATGTACCCAAATTAGATAAAATTGTAAATATCGGTTACTGTGTTCACGACGTTCTATGTGGCATATATACCTATTTATTGCGGTAGTTTTAATTTATAAGTTAAATCTGGATGCTTAATTATTAAATACTTCATTAAAGTAAAAATGGATGTTAGTCAAATTTGTAAGTTTGATACATCTTGTGTTGTTTTAAATTGTGATGTTAAAACTTGTGAACATTTCAATGCTGTGTTGCGGACTGTCTTTGATATTAATAATGATTTATCGAAATTAGTTCAAGATTGGATTAACACGTTTTCAGAAGAAACGTTGACCAACTGGATTGTGTCTCGTAAAATTATAAATCCCAAAAGATTTTTGTTTAAAAAATATACAAGTGTCAACATAATGAAAAAATAAATCAAAAAGCTTGGAAATGAAAACACGTAATCGGAATCTAAAATGTGATGCTACTATTACAATTTTGGTCAAAAAAATTACGAAAGATACTATCAAAAATGATAATTTGTTAAAAGACGGCTTAAATACTGAAATAAAGGTAAGAGACATAATATTATATTGAATCAAACTAAAAAAAGGTGGGTAAGTGGATGTCGCTCTGCTGTACAGTAGGTTACAAGTGGGTCACTGTATAATGGATGCTATTAAATTTGAATTCAATGATACAATATCATTGTATAAGATAAACGATTCTGAGCGAAGACGGTATGTCAGTCTAGGTTTAAGACAAAGACAAATTATATACATATATTTGGTATTAAAAAAAAATTGACCTATAATAAATTCCAAATTAATCATATCACATTATCACAATATCCATTAGGTACTTATAACACGTTATACATCAACGTCAATAACAAACCCTGATACTATCATAGATATATAATAGTACACTTTAGAAGTTTCAAGTAGGTACCCACGAATAATATTATATAATCACAACAAAATAACTAGGTTTTTTAATATGTAATTTCGTCCAAATTTGAACATAAATGACTATAAAAATAAACTGTGATTGTATATTTTTTAGATTTTTCGGTTTAGTGAATTAACTACTTACGTGGAATCTTGTTTTAAATTTTCAATCTTTAGCTATCAAAACTGAACATTTTATAATTTATTAATTACGATGATTAATAATTTTCGAGATTTTGAAAAATTCTGTCAAAATTCGATGTTTAAATGCTTATAAAAAAAAAATTGTGCCTATGTATTTTTAATATTTTTCAACTGATACTGTAACAATATATCAGGAGCCTTGTATTAAATTTTGACACTTTTTGGCCCAACAGATAAAACTTTATTGATATTCATAGAAAAAAAACTAAAAAAAATGAAAAATGAAAATATCCGTAAACAGCTCAAAAAGAGTCAAAATATTTTCAAAATAGTATGGTATATAGGAAATGCTAATATAGTAATATAAACATTCAGTGAAAGTTTCATGTATCTATAGTTATTTGTTTATGAATAACAACAAAATAAGGAAATCGCTACATGAGAAATCGAGTGAACATCCAATGTTGTAAAAATTTGAATTTCAAAAGCTCATAACAATTTAATTTGACTGTCCGGTAGAGATTTTTTTATTGATAAAGGTAGACAAACTTATGAGTAATCTTGTATTACATTTTCAAATCTTAGATTTAAAAGAAAAATTTTTACGAATTCTTAACTCAAAATAATTTGCTAATTTTCGTGATTTTTCCATATTTTGTCAATTTTGCTTATAAAAAAAAACTGTGACTAACGATTTTTAATATTTTTAACCTGCCTTTGAAACAATATACTAGAAGCCTTATAACCTAACCTAACTTAACTTTCAGGTCAAGAAATGAAAATACAAGTGTATGTTAGTAAATAGTAATGCATGGTCCTTACTATTACCCGATATAGGTGGCCGTTTTAGATATTGTACCTCTGCTTACTACCGGTAAAATTTAAAAAAATAATTTTCTATTTTAATCTAAAATTTTACTTTAAATAATATTGTATAATATTCTTATCTTTATTTTATAAGACTTATTATTATTGTTATTGATATTATTATTATTGCCGAAGTACCTTCACTGGATGGTTTCTTCCCTCAAGGCACATAATTTAAAAAAAAAATAAATCATCCATTATGCTTATTAAACTTTGTCTTAGATTGTATAATATTATAGATTAGAAAGAAAATAATTACTATTATTATTTCATATTGTTCAGATGTTATTTAAAGTAAAATAAGTAGGTATGAATACAAAATTATTCATAATGACTTAAGTTAAATGACTTAAAGTACAGTCATTTGATGATGGGTTTTTGCCCCAGTCTAATTTTGATAGTCACCTAGGAGTTGGTGAAAAATGTTAATTTTTTTTTTATAATTTTAAAGAAATATAATGAGTAGATACTATAATATTATAATTTTCACAATTATAACTAATATTAATAGTTGTTTAGGTGGAATATATTATAGATACGTAGGTAAGTATAAAATGGTTTGTGTGTTTGTTGTGTGATTAGGAGCATATTATATTTTTTTTTTTAAGTGTAAGCAATTGTTTGTTCTTCTTGAAAGAAAATAATCAGATATTATATAAGTTCACATTTACAAAAATGGACAATAACAAGAATATTTTAATCCTCTATAATTGTTTCTAAGATCACTTTATTCCAATCCAATTCTAGTATACGTAGATATTAACTTATAATACAATTTCTAAAACAAACCAATCACTTAAATGTATCCATGATTTCTAAAAAACCTCCAATAGTATTTAATATTTTTAATTTTTTCAGCCATTTTGTGGTTGGATTTAGTATTTATTTGGTAACTTTTAGTAATTCAATTTGCTTAACCTTTTGAAAAAATGTAGAAAACATAGTAACTTCTAGTTAGTACTTAGTAGTAATTACTAGGTGTATTTAGCTCTCCATATTATTTTGCAAGATAAAAATATAAGTAGAAATTTACTTGTTAACGGTTTTTCAGTTATATTGAATGGTAAACCTTTTGCCTCAATTATTATGGAAAAAAGTTAAATTCAAAAAATTTGTTTGAACTTTTTTAATAACTTATGATTACCTATATCAATGCATATTTATTTATTTCAGAAATTATCCAACAGAAATGCACCGATTGCATACATTCATCCTTAGAGATGTTGTGGCCATAAGGGAGTCTGTACGATTAGAGGGTCAGTCCATGCTTTTCCCTGAGAACGCTGATATGATTGTAACAAGTTCGATATTGGAATCACTAGCAAATTATGAAATAAGGGATTTAAATTTTCTGAATACCTTAAGGCCTTTTCTGAACACACATGCAGTACATTTTTGCCACGAACTATACAATTTTGCTACTAGTCCTTACGAAATTGGGGAATATGATTTCAATGTGCAACATACACATCCTCCGCATGATAGTGAATTGACTGTAAAATAAACAAAATATTACAAATTGTGAGTTAATGTGAGTTAATGTTAATATAAATGTATGTATATTTGTAGGCTCCATTTTATCAAGAACAATCACCACCAATCATTGGTGAAATCAATGTACTGCATTCAGTTAATGAAGAACCCCAAAGTATAAATATAATAGAAGATAGTTCTAGAACTGATTACACTGATGTTGAAATTCCAAGTCAATCCTTGCGTTCTACAGATCCACTTAATTCGTCCTCTATTGACCAGCCATCTACATCTACTGGAATTCGAGATTCTTTGGATAGACAAAATGATAGGTAAGACAATTAGTGTTTCAATTATTGTTTATATTATATTTTGTATACAAATAAAGATGTATAATTGTATTTTTTTTATTTATTTGAATTGATAAAATGTATTCAAGTTCATGAATAATATTCTCACTAACTGTAAATTATTCATCTAGTTTTCAACCCGTATATGGTGGTTTAACTCGAGTGTCATATTCATCACAAGTAAAAAGAAACAGACCGAATCAATAATTGCTACTCAAGGTTCTCAAACCTTTTTAATTTAAAATCTGGAAATGTTCATAAAGAAAAGAAAAATGAACACCAATGATTCACTGTCTGAAATCAGTTATCAAAGTACCAAAGAAATCGTTCATATCCAGGATCATCTTCATCTTCCGGAAAAACAAATATATGGCCTATTAACAGTTGTAATGAACTATTATTAATTTCTCAAAAGAAAGAATGTAATATATGCAATATTTATTATGTCATCACAGTAGAAATTAAAACTGTCTATCTAAGCAAACAGGAATAAACCTTATTTATGATTTTATTTTATTTTTTCTAATTAAATAATTTATGTTTAAATATGTGTATTTGATGCCTTAACATAAAAACAAATGAATGATAATCTGTTGAGTGTATATATATATATTTATATAAATATATAAAATAGATTTAAAAAGTATTTTGTAATATAATAAGACTATTTTTTTCTTCAAAAAATTTAATTGTTTGTGCTTTCTATTCAAATATACTTAATTCTTATTTACTTTTATAAACTTTCAAAAATAATTATAAAAAAATCAGTGTAAGCCCATATTAATGTTATAAAAGTGTTAGAATTTAAATGTTGTAAACACAAAGCTTGAAAGACCGTTTAAGAATCGTTTTTCATTGTATACAGTATTTCATAATTTAATTCTAATTTTAAAAATGGGTGCATACAATGAATATGCCCGCAAAACACCAGAGCGATTACTCCTGCTTTAAGTGATTTATGCTGGTAAAATTGTTTAACTACCTCAGACATAGGCGCAAATTGGGGGGGGGGGGCTTGGGGGGGGCTTAGCCCCCCCAAACTTAGCCGTAGCCCCCCCAAAAATCTACAAGTTTATAATGCTATAATATTATAAATGTGTACAGTTTTTTTTTTTTTATTGATCTTTATATATAACTCGGCAGCAAAGGCCATTAGTTAATCTCTTACATATTTAAATAATATTATATATTATTTATGTTATTTATAAAATAAAAATTATCACCGATTTTGTAGAAATGAATGTATAATATTATTTTTATCCTATATTATTTGGAATTATTATTACATTGTGTTATTATTGTTATCACGTCATGATCGCGATTGTATATTATACTAAATGTATATTTAGGTACCTACCTACTTCATAATAAATATAATTATATAAGATACTCTTTACTAAACCCACGATGCTAGTAACAGGCGATAAGCCCGCATAATATTTGACATGACGTGTTTATATATAGTTTATTCTATATTATATTAAATGTTTATTTTTATTGTTTTAAATTCGGCAAACTAGGTCTTTCCCTGCGACCATTTAGTGCGCCTATCTGAATTCTGAATGCATTTATATTTTTGTTACATATTATGGTTAGGTACGTCATATTATCCGCTTGTCGTTTTCATTACAACAGTTAACAATCCGCGTTTTCAGATTGTACTGCTAAGAGATTAAAAAGAGAACCAAATCATTTGAAGGATTTCCATTTATCATCAACCACAAGCACTGAACTAACTAATGAAAATGAAAAACACTGGCGAATAATTTATTTCAAATTAATTGATACTATTGTTACAAACATAAAAAAAAGTTTTTCCACTGAAAGCCTAAAAATGGCAACAGTAGTTGATAATTTTATGAAGTTAAATTATGATGATAGCACTTTTTTCATTGAAAATTATAAAGTAAGGATAAATTATTAACATGAGATGTATTCAATTTAATATAAAAATAATTTCTTTTCTTATAGGAGTTGTTCAATATTGACCTAAATGCTCTGAAAAGTGAAATGATGGTGGTAAAAAATTTTGTCCTTCGATCAAGCATAGAATCACAGATTGATTTTGATAAAATAAAAGAAATGGTACAATCTGAAATTTATCCAAATTTATACACTTTGTTGAAAGTGGCTCTTTCAATTCCTGTTAGTTCAGCCACGTGTGAGCGTTCTTTCTCCACTATGAGAAGAATTAAAAATTGGCTACGCACATCGATTTACCAGGAGCTATTTTCTAGTTTGGCAATAATAAACATTGAAAGAGAAGTATCAAATCAGCTTAAAGCTGAGGATATACTAATTGAGTATGCTAAGACCAATAAAAGGTTACAATTATAATTTGTTGTTTGTTTATATTGATTGATATATAGGTATATTGAAATTAATTAATAAATGTATTACCTACTATGTTGTTAAAATCATGTTATTATAAGTCACACCCCCACTTGAAAATTGAGGTAGGTCGACCGTAATAATGAAGAAAAAAAATTTAATTGGATTATGAAGTAATATTATAAGGTAAGATAATATGAATGGTGTTGGTGGGGGGTGTGGGGGGCATAGCCCCCCACGGGTCTGCTTGCCCTTAATATATTCAGCCCCCCCAAGTCAAAAGTTGAAATTGCGCCTATGATGCCAACATCAGGCACTATATCATTAACTAAAAAATAATATTCTGCTTTGGAATATGAAAATTAAACTTTAGGTATGTTGTCATTCAAAAAAGTGCAAAACCTAAAAAATGATAAAAATAAATGCTTTCTAACGACTCGAAAGTCGAAACCATTTAATGTAAATTTTTTTTTCAAAAACAGATATTTTTCGAAATTATGAGTGGCTTATGATAAAATAATCACCTGGTATGTAACATGTACATGTACCTATGACCTACATATTACAGATATTATGTCGGTTAGCAGCAATTCTATATTTTGCATTAAATATTATATCGTTTAACATCACTTATCAATGTTTTTCTTTGATGAATGACTATTAATATATATGGAACTACCTATTCGCTTAATAAAATATTTTATTTATTTTTTTTTTTTACTAATGTGTTTTTTAATTACCCATCCATTAATATAATGTACCTACCTTTTACTTTTATTATTTAAATTTTAATTACGCAATGCGTAAGCCATTCATTTGATGTATTATTGCATTTATTTTTGCGTATACCCGTAATGTTCATTGAAAATTATTGTAATATTTATTTTTTATCTTTCGCGGGTAGGTACAAGGCTGGATTAAGAACATATTGGGCCCCAGGGCCCAAAATTTCATGTGGGCCCTTTTGACAAGACTGAAAATGTCCGTAAACAGCTCAAAAAGAGTCAAAATATTTTCAAAATTGTATGGTGTATAGGAAATGCTAATATAAGTATTCAGTGAAATTTTCATGCGTAGGTATCTACAGTTATTCGTTTTTTAATTACAACAAAATAAGGAAATCGCTACATGAGAAATCGAGTGAATATCCAATGTTGCAAAAGTTTGAATTTCAAACGCTCATAAAAATTTAATTTGACTTTTTTATAGACATTTTTTTTTGATAAAGGTAGATAAACTTATAAGGAATCTTGTATTACATTTTAAAACCTTAGATTTAAAAAGAAAAATTTTTACGAATTCATAACACAAAATAATTTGATAATTTTCGTGATTTTTCCATATTTTGTCAATTTTTGAACTTTAAATGCTTATAAAAAAAAAACTGTGACTAAGGATTTTTAATATTTTTCAAATTCCATTGTAACAATGTAGTAGGAGCCTTGATTTAAATTTTCAAACTTTTTTAACCAACAAATAAAATGTTATTGATATTTTTAGAAAAGAAACTAAAAAAAAATTTTAAATGAAAATGTGCCTAAACAGTTTAAAATAAATCAAAACATTTTGAAAATGTTATCGTGTACCTATAGAAAATGCTAATATAAACATTCAGTCAACATTTCATGTACCTACCTACGGTCATTTGTTTAAGGGTTGTACCAAAAACCAAAATCGATTTTTCGAAAACAACATTTTTAGTGTAAAAATTCCCGTTTTTTCCGATTTCCGATTCACTTTCCTATCAGAAAAGCTACTGTTGAAGAAAATCCAAGCACTTTTACTGTCCTAAAACGTGATGACAGACACAAAAAAAAAATTTAAAAAAAAAACACACAGTTCCACTCTGAATCTAAAGTGTTATGACAAAGATTTATATAAAATAGTTTTTATAAATATTATTATTTATAATTTTATAATTTAATTTAAAAAATAATTTTAGAACATGATGGGTGCATTGCAACTTTTAACGTTCCATGTACATAACTACATGACGTATATTTAGCTGTAGTTATCTTATCTAAATACATAGAATCGGCAATGATTGGAAAAAATAAAGTTAATTTCCACTTGAATAAAATGTTATTATACCTTTCTATATGTATAATATCGAGCCCTATTAGGTAAAAAGGAGTAAGCGACATTTTCATTTTTTTTACAGGAACTAAAAAAAACACTTTTAAAATCGAATTATCTGATGGATTTTCATGAAAATCAGATGTGTAGTTATAAAAGAATTATTTCGTAGATGCAATTACAGAATAAAAATTATGTTTTTAATATTGTGTAACTCGCTTACAATAAAATAAATGTTCGAATATAGCTCAACGGTGCTTACACTTTTTATTTTCGGCGCATTTACCGCATTTTGAATTATATATGGGAATAATTAATTAAAGTGAAATATTGAATTTTTGAATTGAAATACAGAATGATAGATAATTGTTGAAAGAAATTAATTGATAGATTTTGAATTTAAAGGCAGTAGATGACTTTATTGAATAAAAGTAGTTGCAACAAATTTCGAAAAGTTTTGGAAAAAAAGAATTAATTATATGGGCCCTATAGGATAAGATTTAGTATAATATTACTACGAATAAGTTGATAGAATAATATTATTAATGAAAAATTAACTGTTAGTGTTTTTAAAAGTAA